AAATGGTGCTGGAAAAATTGGATTTCCACACGCAGAAAAATGAAACAGGATCCACACTACACACCATATACAAAAATAAATTCAAAATGGATTAAAGACTTAAATGTGCAAACTAAAAGCATAAAATTCATAGAAGAAAAAGAGGGGCAATACTGTCAGATCTAGACTTTAACAATAGATTATCTAATATATTAAATAACAAAAGTCCAAACAGCAAAAGACTAAATAAATAAATTGAACTTTACAAAGATTAAAAACTTTTGTTCATCAAAAGACTCTACCAAAAAAGTGAAAAGACAAGCTACTGACTGAGAGATTATCTTCAGAAACATATATCCAGTTATGAATCTAGTAACAACAAAAAGACAAATAACCTAATCATAAAATGGGCAAAGGACTTGAATAGACATTTCACCAATGAAGCCATTCAAATGGCCATCAAACACACGAAAAGCTGCTTAACATCATTAGCCATCAAAGAGATGCAAATTAAAACCACAATGATATATCATTTCACATCCACTAGGATGGCTAAGATTAAAAAAAAAAAAAAAACTTTACCCAAAAAAGTGAAGATAAGCTACGAACTGGGAGAATAGCTTCAGAATCCATATATCCAACAAGAATCTAACAACCAAAATATATACAAAACTTCCATAAATTAACAACAAAAAGAAAAATAACCCAATCATAAAATGGGCAAAGAACCTAAATAGACATTTCACCAGAGAGGACATTCAAATGGTCACCAAACATATGAAACGATGCTCAGCATCATTAGCCATCAGAGAGATGCAAATCAAAACCACAATGAAATACCACTTCACTCCTATTAGGATGGCTAAGATTTTAAAAAAAATAACAACAACAGAAAAAAACACCAGAAAATAATAAATGCAGGTGAGGATGTGGGAAAATGGAACCCCATCCATTACTGATGAGAATGCAAAATGGTACAGCCATTGTGGAAAATAGTGTGGTGGTTTCTCAAAAAACTGAAGATAGAACTACCATATGACCCTATAATTCTACTCCTATGTATATACCCAAAAGACCTGAAAGAAGAGACTCAAACAGAGAATTGTACACCAATGTTTATTGTAGCACTATTCACAACAGCCAGAAGGTGGAAATAACCTAAACGCCCATCAACAGACAAATGGATAAACAAAATGTGGTGTATACATAAAATGAAATACTACTCAGACAGTAGGAGAAATGAAGCCTTGATACATGCTACAATATGGATGGAGCTGGGAGACATTATGCTGAGTGAAATAAGTCAATCACAAATGGACAAATATTGTATGACCTCACTTATATTAAAAAAAAAACAAGAAAAGGCAAAAGTATAGAGAACAAATTTTATTACTGGTTACCAGGGGCGAGAGGAAGGGGGAAAACGGGGATTAACAGTGATGTGAACATTGCATTGATTAAGGGTAGGGTTGCCAGCCAATTATCATAATTGCTGTCAATAAGTTGTACAGCTGTAAAAAGTTGAATTGGCGAAAGTTGTGTGATAGATACATTTACAACAATGACGCCCACCCCCCACCCCCCAAAAAAAAGTAGATGCTCATGTTGCTTATGTACAACCTAAAACCTCATGGGATTTGTTTTCTTGGTTTGGAGGTTTAGGGTCATGATTTCATGGGACATCCTGGTTAATGGGCCAAATAACATGTCTAGTGCTTCTGTTCTATCTCCTAGTTCACTGCGAAGTGCCTGGGGTCTTAAAAGCTTGCAAGCAGTCATCCAACACACAACAATTGGTCTCTACTTGCCTGGAGCAACAGAGGGAGATGGAGAGTAAGGAATAGGAGGAAGATATGGAATGTGTGGCTAATTACCTCCATGAACAACTGCCTTCTTTGTCGTAAGATCAGAAGAACTGGATGGTACCTGGCTATCATCACTGAACATTTTGATCAAAGATCCCACAGAATAATACAGATCAAGAGGGAAAATGCAGAACAGAATCTCAAATTCTCATGGACCCTACACTTCCTGGAGTCATGAAGGTTGGATGAACCCCTGCAACTATTGCCCGAGGTAATTTTTAAACCTTAAACCAAAAATATCCCCTGAAGTCTTCTTAAAACCAAACAATAGTTCAGCTTAACTAGTAAAAAAATGTTCCACTGCTATTCATAAGGTTTTCAGTGGCTAATTTTTTCAGAAGTAGACTGCCAGGTCCTTCTTCCTAGACTTAGTTGAAAGCTCAGTTGAAACCTGTCCACCACAGGTGACCCTGCTAGCATTTGAAATACCAGTGGCATAGCTTCCAGCACCATAGCAACATGCAAGCCACCACAGTATGACAAACTGACAAACTGACAGACGACTGGCAAAAAGAATTGGTTGATGTTCAACCATTTCAGGAGGTAACATACGATAAAGCACCGATGGTACTGAAGAAGTCCAAGCTGCATTGAAGGCATTCGTGAAAAATAAGGCTCCAGGAATTGACAGAATACCAATTGAGATGTTTCAACAAATGGATGCAGCACTGGAGGCACTCACTTATCAATGCCAAGAAATGTGGAGGACAGCTACCTGGCCAACCAACTGGAAGAGACCAATAATTTTGCCCATTCCAAAGAAAGGTGATCCAACTGAATGTGTAAATTATCGAATTATATCATTAATATCATACACAAATAAAATTTTGCTGAAGATCATTCAAAAGCGGTTGCAGCAGTACATCGAAAGGGAACTGTCAGAAATTCAAGCCGGATTCAGAAGAGGACATGGAAAGAGGGATATCACTGCTGATGGCAGATACAGATCTTGGCTGAAAGCAGAGAATACCAGAAAGATGTTTACCTGCGTTTTACTGACAATGCAAAGGCACTGACTGCGTGGATCATAACAAATTATGGATAACACTGCGAAGAATAAGAATTCTAGAACACTTATTGTTGTCACGCAGAACCTATACATAGACCAAGAGGCAGTTGTTGGAACAGAACAAGGGGATACTTGTAGTTTAAAATCAGAAAAGGTGTGCATCAGGGTTGTATCCTTTCACCATACTTATTCAATGTGTATGCTGAGCAAATAATCTGAGAAACTGGACTATATGAAAAAGAATGGGACATCAGGATTGGAGGAAGACTCATTAATAGCCTGCATTACACAGATGACACAACCTTGCTTGCTGAAAGTGAAGAAGACTAGAAGCAGTTACTGATTAAGACCAAAGACCACAGTCTTCAGTATGGATTATACCTCAACCTAAAGAAAACAAAAATTCTCACAGCTGGACCAATAAACAACATCCTGATGAACAGAGAAAAGATTGAAGTTGTACAGGATTTCACTTTACTTGGATCCACAATCAACACCCCTGGTAGCAGCAGTCAAGAAATCAAACACACATTGCATTGGGCAAATCTGCTGCAAAAGACCTCTTTAAAGCTTTGAAAAGCAAAGATGTCACTTTAACGACGAAGGTGCACCTGACCCAAGCCATGGTGTTTTCAATCGCTTCAAATGCATTTGACAGCTGGACAATGAATAAGAAAGACTAAAGAATTGATGCCTTTGAGCTACGGTGTTGGCGAAGAATATTGAATATACCATGGACTGCCAGAAGAAGGGACAAACCTTAGAAGTACAGCCAGAATACTCATCAGAAGCAAGGATGGCAAGACTTCGTCTCACATACTTTGGACATGTTATCAGGAAGGACCAGTCCCTGGAGAAGGACGTCATGCTTGCTAAAGTAGAGGGTCGGCGAAAATGAGGAAAACTCTCAACGAGATGGACTGACACAGTGGTTTTAACAATGCGCTCAAGCATAATGATTGTGAGGACGGCACAGGACCGGGCAATATTTCATTCTGTTGTATATAGGGTCGCTGTGAGTCGGAACTGATTTGACGTGACCTACCTACAACAACAGAGGCGCCTCGGAAGACAGGCCTTGAGATCTGCTTCCAGAAGGTCACAGCCTTGAAAACCCAATGGAGTAGTTCTACTCTGTACACATGGGGTCACCATGAGTTGGAATCAACTCAATGGCAACTAAAAAAAACAACACTGAGTTAAATGCCTTACTAAAATTAATTTCACCTGTTTCTACCTTTTTAATGTAACTGCCCCAAAATTTTAAATGATATATGTACGTCACAGTATCTTTCTATTGGCCATAACTGCCTTAGAACCTTACAGTCAAATGATACTAAAAATGATCTTAATATTTTGTTTTGCTACAGAGAAGTGAAGCAAGGAGATCAATACAAGATTCTCAAGTGTAAAAGAAGTCCTTGGCCGGCGCAAACTACTCATGTAAAGGTTGGTGGTGTGAATCCACCCAGAGGTGCCTCAGAAGAAAGGCATGGTGATCAACTTTCAAAAGATCACAGCCATGAAAACACTACGAAGTGTAGTTCTACTCCACAACACATGGGGTCACCATGAGTAGGGATCAACTCAAGGGCAACAGTTTTTTGTTTTTGTTTTTGTCATTGGCATGCTTACCAGGACATCTATTATCTGGCAGTGTGGTATTTACAAAATGTTGCAGTATTGTTTCCAATTACCTGCTAGGATTAAGTAGCTGAAAAAGATCTTATTTACACTGATTCCCTCAGTAAAATTTCTACTTTTCCTCACACTGTAGTTTTTAGGCTTTCAAGGCCTACAGATTCAATCTTTTTTTTCTTTTTAATTGTTGTACTTTAAGTGAAAGTTTACAATTCAAGTTAGTCTCTCATACAAAAATTTATACATACATTTTTATGTGACCCTAACTGCTCTCCCTATACTGTGACAGCACACTCCTCCTTTCCACTGCTGATATCCTGTGTCTATTCAACCAGCTCCTGATCACTCTCTGCATTCTCATCTCACCTCCAGACAGGAGCTGCCCATTTACAGACCCAATCTTAAATTCCTCCCCATATACTTTAAAAGAATTTGGAAACAAATGGATGTTTAACAGTTGTCAATCACTGGAGAAAACCCCACCATCACCAGCACCACCACACTACCTGGGTAAGCACACTGCAGCAGAGCTACCGACTTGCCTCCAGGAGCAGCACACAGATCCAGCACCTTCTCCCCATCTCTTAATTCCAGAGCCAGAACTGGGAGAAGAGAGGCAGCATTTAGGAGGTAGTATTTTTTCAGGATTCCCATTTGGTGTCTTTCAGAAGGCATTCGGTCTGGAGTTCTGCTAAGGTAACACTTCACTGATTCAGGACAATAGGGTAAAGATCCTTGAAAGAGTGTGTGATAGCCCTTCAAATGTAAATCCTTTTCCAGTTCAAAAGGATAATTGAATCGGTTGAACAGGACAGCATATTGCCAGCATGATGGGGATGTCAGTATATCCCTAGAAATAGACCAAAAAAAAAAAAAAAAAAGGAATATTAATATTATACACAGAATACAATTTTGTGTTAATAATTGAGTGAATAAGAAGCACTGGTGGCACAGTGGTTAAGTGCTCAGCTGCTAACCAAAAGGTTGGTGGTTTGAACCCACTAGCCCCTCTGCAGGAGAAAGATGGGGCAGTCTGCTTCCAAACAGATTACAGCCTCTGAAACCCTATGGGGCAGTTCTACTCTGTCCTATAGGGTTGCTATGAGTCGGAATCGACTCGAAGGCAATGGGTATTGAGTGAATGTGGTCCTAGTTTTATACTTTTCTTACATGGGATTTTCAGAGAGAGGGTCAGTATTACTGACCTTCCCTTTTGTCTCAGCTCCAATATGGCTCAACCTTCCTGGCAGTGTTCATGGACCTCTCTTTACTTAAACATTTGATATTTTGTCCATTGTGGATATTTTGTATTCAATTTTATTTTTTAAATATTGCATTAAAATATTATTTCTTTTCATTACTGTGTTTTTTGGGATTCCCTCAAATTTTGCATCGGCAGGGGATGGGGAGAATGCCTCACTCACCCTACCCTAGTCCCAACCCTGCAGAGTATTTTGTCAAAAACAACACGGTCTGCCTTTACATCACTCTAAATCTGTCAAAATAGATTTCAGTTTATTACTCTTTGCACAAGGAAGTGTTTTTCTAAGAAACAAAACTTAAAATCAGAGACTATTAATATTGGGAGGAAAGCACTATCATTAAAGGATGTTTAAATGAATTTGCATTAAAGTTTTCCTCTGATGAAGACGAAAAAGGTATGGAAACCTAATTACGGGGAGCCCCACAGTTAACAGTTAATGAGGAGAGCAGTGGCTCAGATGATACAAAACCAAGGATGATTTAAAAATCACTGATGGATTGATGGTAGATGCATCCGCCCAGCAGATTTACCTTCCCAACTTTGTATTCAGTCCAATAGTTAGATCTCTTGACAGTCATAACTGACAGATAATACAGCCGGAAATATTGCATTTATTTATTAGCTGATCTTTCCAGCTGAGTTATTTGGGAGCCTCATTAACCACGGTCAATTAAATCAATTCCAGCTGTTACTCACCCTGGAGTTGCCTATGTAAGGAATGGCTGGATTGAAATGTAACACCTGTGACTCGAAGTGTAGCGGTGTGAATTACAATTTGGGGAAAATATGTAAAACCGATTTCTCCTTTCAGTGCCTCTTATTATGAATGATGTGTTAATGGAGCCTGGCATATCTGTTTCAGCTATTCTGAAGGATGATAGTGTCTTTTAGAGTGGTTCACCAACTTTAGCACACATCCAAAAAAAAAAAAGTTGCGGTGGAGTAGACCCCGACTTATAGCAACCCCAAGTGTTACACAGTAGAATTGCACTCCATACGGTTTTCAAGGCTATGAACTTTCAGAAGAGGATCACCTGGACTGTCTTTCAATCTGCCTCTAGGTGGGCTTGAACTGCCAATCTTTCAGCTAGTAGTCAAGCACTTAATTACACCACCCCAAGGGTCTATAAACAAGTTTGCTGAGGCCCACCACTAGAATTTCTGATTTTGCAGGTCTGAGGTGCGACCAGAGGATTTGCATTTCTAACAAGTTCCCAGGTAATACTGATGCTGCTGATCCCCAGGACCACACCTGGGGAACCAATGCTTTAAAAAAAATGGTCCCCAGAGTGAAATCTGTGAATGCTACTATTGTAAATCTCAGGCCATTCCATCCTAATCTTACCCTCCAAGCTGGATGAAAATCTACCCACTGTTTGGAGTCAAGCAGTAACAGGGAAATAGTCAGAACATAATTTAATTTATATAGACTGAAGGGGCTTGGCTGCATCACATGCTCACCCTTTGACCAACAAGGACAGGACACTTTCAATTGGTTAATATCCGACAGGGCAAATCTCTATACGTTATTCTCCTTTTTCAGAATTTCCCAAGATGTTCCTGAACGAGTATTCTTTTGGATGAATTTTAAATCAATTGGTCAGTTAAAATATATTGACAAAATATGTGTTTATACACAGATATAGATACAGCCATCTCAACTATGATAATATTAAATGCATTAAATTTGGGGAAAAACATCTTTATTGTATTAAGAGGAACACTGGTGGTGCAATGGTTAAGCCCTTGGTTGCTAACCAAAAGGTTGGTGGTTAGAACCTACCAGTGGCTCTGCGAGAGAAAAGACCTGGCGACTTGTTCCTGTAAAGATTACAGCCTAGAAAACCCTATGGGGCATTTCTACTCTGTCCTATAGAGTAGCTATGAGTCGGAATCGACTCGATGGCACACAACATTGCATTAAGTCTTTGCAACAATGGCCACATTCCTCCATTTATTCACATTTTCTTTCAGGTCCCTTAGTAAAGGTTACTGATTCTGCACATTTCCTCTTAAGCTTATTGTTTAAAAAAGATTATTGTTAGTTAAAAACACTACTGATACTTGTATATTTATCCAATAAGGTAAATCTCAAAAGATGAGTAGGAATTCCACAGGAACAAGTGAGGAAGGTGTTCTGGGGTATAGGTACAGGCATAGGTATGAGGAAGGGCAGTGCATTTAGGGAATTAAAAGTAGTTTGGTATGGCTGGTGACAGAATGGGCCAAGCATAATATGACAAAATTTTTGAATTTATAAGTGACAGAAGGCACCTAAAAGACCTTAGAAGGAAGCGCTCCATCGGCTTTAGAAATACATACTTCAGGCAGATGGGAGGTAGGAATCTTCAGAAATTATTAGATCTCCTTTAACAACTAGGCAAAATAAGACCTTGGTAAGAAAACTAAAGGTCTGATCTCTCATAACATAAACCCAGCCCTACTGAATTACTGGTATTTGAATTTTCTAGAACAAGTTTTCTTTAGCTCTCACCAGTCTCAGCATAAACTGTTCCCTCTGCCTAAAATCATCTTTCCTCTCCCTCCCACCATAGCCTGGTTGACTCTCCCACAGCCCTTCGGGGGCAGGTTAGGGTTTATCTCCCCAGGGAAGCTTTTCCATCTACCATCCAATCCACCCCTCCACCTCACCCAGATAATATTAGTAATAATAAAAGCTATTGATTGGATGTTTACAATGTGTTTGCATGTGAGAGGGAATGAACATTCCCTCTCACATGCAAACACATTGGCCAGATCATAATATAAAAAGAGAACTATGACCTACTATCTGCAGCATCCAGCCTAAAAAGTCAAACCACTATCTGCAGCTACCAGTCCAGGAAGCAAAATAATTCCTCTAACAATGGGATCAAAATGGGCAGGGCTTGATTAATAACTAACAGCCTCCTTAGTTTTTCCCCCTGCTTCCAACTTAGAACCAACCAGACCACAAAAAAAAAAAAGAACAAAAAAAAAAACCCATTGCTGTTGAGTCAATTCCAACTCATAGCAAACCTACAGGACAGAGCAGATCCACCCCATAGGGTTTCCAAGGAGCGCCTGGTGGATTCAAACTGCCAACCTTTTTGTTAGCAGCCGTAGCTCTTAACTACTATGCCACCACAGTTTCTGAACCAACCAGAGAAAAGCCAAATATGCTCCTTCAGGGTCGCTATGAGTCAGAATCAATTTGACAGCAAAGGGTTAAACCAACCGCTTATAATGCCCAGCTTTTACTTAGCTCACCTCCACTTTCCAACAGTCTCCAATCAGGGCATACCTGAAGCCTTCCCTTTTGTCCACTATAAAACTTTCCCATTCTCCTGCCTGCCTCTGAGTCTCTGCCAAATCAAAGTGAAGGTGGCTGAAAAGGTGGGTCTCATCACCCCCACCCCCCACCCCACCTGCAGCTGCCACACATGCACAGGCCCTTCTGTGCCTGCACTTGGTGGCTGCTGCCCTGGGGCTGGAAGTAAAATAGCTACTCCAGCCTAGGGCTTCAATGGATAGGCAAGTAGCCCAGCAGGAGGTAGAGCAACAGTGCATAGAAGACTCCAGAACACAGTGGCCAGAATCCAGACTTTGCCTCCTCCCAAGATTCATGAGAAGGAGACTGAAGCTGCTCCATTCAGCAGTCTCCAAGCCCCGGTGGTGCAGTGGTTAAGCGTTTGGCTGCTAACCAAAAGGTCGGCAGTTCGAATCCACCAGCTGCTCCTTGGAAACCCTATGGGGTGGTTCTACTCTGTCCTACAGGGTGACTGTAGGTTGGAATCGACTCAACAGCAACAGATCTGGTTTTGCTTTTTTAAGTCCACAAGTTCAGTGACATGCAAACGTTTTGCTAGTTCATTCACTAATATTACTTTGAAAGACCTAAGTACCCTCTGGCACATTTTAAATTGACACAAAAATCTTCACCATATGTAAATTCCAGCATATTGCAAAAATTGACATTTAAAAATGTTACAACACTTTTTAAAATGTATTAATGGAATCTAAATAACAGAGTGATTCTGATACCCATCACTGTCCATTTAAAATTTGTGGACTGGCTCTTCTTTAATAGGAAGAAATTTTACATTTCGTTTCTCTTTTACTTACTTTTCATTTCCCCATACAATTTTACCACAATATTTATGCTTGAAACCTTTTTTATTACCCTATTATATTTCATGGAGCCCTGCTGGCACAGTGGTTAAGAGACTGATCGGCTGCTAACCAAAAGGTCAGCAGTTTGAATCCACTAGCTGCTCCCTGGAAACCCTACAGGGCAGTTCTACTGTGTCCTATAAGGACGCTATGAGTCAGAATCTACTCAATGGCGATGGGGTTTGTTTTTTTTTTTTAAATCATTTTATTTCATACTTCTCTGCCCACCCGCCACACACACACATGTAACATGCTAAATTTGTCTTCCCTGTAATCTTAAATCTCTAAGTGTTAAAATGGTAACTTTTGGGTTGAGTTATCAATAAAATTACTGGGACAAAACTGATTAAAACAACTTATTATGACTGTTGTTGTTAGGTGCCATTGAGTCGGTTGCAACTCATAGCGACCCTATGTACCACAGAACGAAACAC